CATGAGGTCGGCAACCTCACGAGACTTCCCGGTAAGCGACCCCACGTGCAGGGTCCCAATTCGAACTCCTCCTAGCTCTTTTGACCGAGGTCCTCTATCCCTCGGTAGCCCTCGCATACGCCCTCGTTTATCCTGACACAGATTCGGGCGAAGGTTCTGCGCGCCACTTTCGGGTGACGTCCTAGCTTTAACACTGATACTTTTGCGACTTGTCATGATTGTTGTGACGGGTTCCTCCATCAGCCGGCCTGTCAACCTGGGCCTGACGCTGGTATCGTCCCCATTTTTGCAATTTTTGCAAGGCAGGTTTGTGCCTCGGCAGGGATCGAACTCGTGGCTCAGAGTGCGAACATGAGACCTACACTCTTAACCATTCGGCTATCCCTGCCCCTCCAATCGTCACTCAAGTACGGTCGTCATCCGGGAGTTGATTAGGCGGCCAAAGGGTCGCGACGCGGCTGCGGCTCGTCACGACCGCGGCGATCAACTGTTTCCAGCCTGGTTTAGCCATTTTCTCCCTAATTTTCACTGTATTTTCTTTTTTTAAGGTAAGTTGTGTTATTGCCTTTATGGAATGTATCATGATGTGGGTTCTTTTTTTTGTTTTGTATGAAGTGTTTCTGCGATTTTCTAGGTATTTGTTTAATTGTTTGTTTAATTGTTCAATTGTTCGCAAAAATTAGAGAAATCTCAATCATAATTTACCTTGTGAAGACAAGGAACAACTAACCTCAAGAAAGAGCAGCTAAAAACAACGAAAATTGTTTAATTGAAAATTGAATTGATAATAATTGAAAATTGCATAAAATGGCTAAACCAGGCTGGAAACAGCTGATCGCCGCGGTCGTGACGCGCCGCAGCCGCGTCGCGACCCTTTGGCCATCTAACCAATTGCCCGGATGACGACTGTAACTGCAAGGATAACGTAGCGCGGGCATAGCATTACTAGTCTGTGCGCGTTTTTGAATGTACACTCGTCATCCGGCCAGTTGATTAGGGCGGTCGTCAAGGGCCGCAGACGCGGCTGCAGCAGCGACCGCGTACGTAGGAACTGTGTGCGGCGATCAGCCGTTTCCGGCCTGGTTTAGTCATTTTTTCCTACTTTTCACTGTTTTTGGCTGTTTTTTCAAGGTTAACTGTTCCTTGTCTTCACAAGATAAATTATGATTGAGTTTTTCTAACTTTGCGAACAATTAGACGATTAAACAAACACCTAAGAAAATCGCGAAAAACACTCCATTACAAGAAAAAAAATTCACGTCTCGATATATTTCATATAGACAATAAAGCAACTGACCTTGAAAAAAAGAGAAAATACAGTGAAAACTAGGGAGAAAATTGCTAAATTAGGCTGGAAACAGCTGATCGCCGCGATCGTGACGCGCTGCAGCCGCGCGCCGCATCCCTTCGGCCGAATCAAGTGCCCGGATGACGACTTTAGAAGTGGACTTTCGAAAATGTAAAACAAGAATTAGTTAAGAATTCAATTTAATAGTAAGCAAATACTTACGATGGTATACGTGACGGTTCTTCCCCTAACCAGCAGGCCATTGTGAGTTCATTCGTCGTCGCATGTACGAAAGTGAACCCGATTTTAGTCAGTTCCGGAACCACGTGAGAATCCTCAAGCATACAATAATATTCACCTGTTTCGAATCTATAAACATGAATGAAGAATGTGGAAGCAACTTTATAGCAATCGCGAGTGTGATCTACCAATCATAGTGGAGCATTTTTGTTATGAACGGGAATGTGACTCAAACTGACCAAACGTTATATATGAAAAAAGAAAGAGTCAGAAAGAAAGCAATTATAAAAAGGAAATGTCGGCTCCGCTCGTATCCCTCCACCACTCGAAGTATGTGGGTGGTCTTTAGCCGCTTATGGTGTACAGCACCGTTGGAAGAATCTCACAGAGGTCGTATTTGGTCGTCAGGAAGGAGGGTCGGAATTGGTCGGTGAGAGTCGTCTTTGGTCGTCAAAAGATTTCCAAGCTGCTGAAGATCCCTTCCATTTGTTGAATTTTCTGGCTTTTTCCCGTTTCATGTTCGTTACTATACTCCTAATTGGCGCCGCTACAGAAACCCTACACCACTAATATATCTGATATTTAAAACCACTACTTGGTGACGAGCAGTCCCTCTTCCCTGCCCTCCATCCTTACCTGCTCGACGATTCTTGGGAAAAAACTGGGAGGTTTTTCTGCAAAACAGTGGCAGGAACTTGGGAAGACGCACGCGCGCGAAATGTTCCAAGGCGAAGAAACAGCCGTATTTCTCTCTCCGAAGGTTGAAGGAGCAGATATTCCAGTTGCTTTTCAAACACTTCTCATCCAATACTATTATAGTACCACCTCAGAAATAAATTAATTAACGACATCGAACCAACTACTGACACAACTATTGGAAATATAACGACAAAGTAAATATCGACAGTATACTATATACATCCAAACCATCGGTAAATCGACGACGCATAAGTTTCGACAGTTTAACTATATAAAGCTAACAACATATTTCGGCGCCAAATTTTCGGGCGTAAAGACAATTGCCGCGATCAATTGCGGGGCCGGCGCCTTGGACGAGTTATCAGACGTCATCAAAATCAGTCACCACTCAATCAGCAGGATTGGACGTGCAACGGATTCCCGGCAAGAGCATAGGAAATGCCCTACGACGCTCCAGGCAACGCTATGTACACACGCAATTCCGCTTGTAAGCCGTTGTCTTGCAGAGTGAAAGTAATCGTGGTTGCAATGGTTGCAATAATCACGCCGCTTATCTCGCCGTTTCGAGTGACGAAAGTGGTATATTCTTTGCGAATGCGGACAACGATGCCAAATGCAGGAAGCATTTCGCGGACCACTGATCGCGGAAACCCCTTCACGAGCGGTGCGTCTTATGGAAGGGTGCTTTTTATACCCCAAAAAATAGAAAATGGAATGGTTGCAGCTGTTGCAACGAAAAATGGGAAAGAATAAAGTCTAACAGTTAAGCTGTACAGTTAAGCAAAAAAAAACATACTTTTATATCTATATACATCCAAACGGCTTTTATCCGATCTGCTTTCCCGGGCCCAAATGTTGCGATGAGTTCCTCAGTAAAACGACCGTTCAATACCTCTGGAGATAATTCCTTTGTTTTCATTATTGCATCACCATATGCGTTGACTCCGTAACTAAGAACCATATTGGTGAGTTCCTGAAAAAAACTTGTAAAATCATTGCAAACGATTACCGAACTTGCAAATGGCCGGGCAAGTTCGAAGCACGTACTTGGGAGTGGCCTTCAGCGAGAATATAGACGCGAAATAAATGACTGGTCTGATGGCTTCCAGCTGGCGGTTAATACAGCCTTGTTCTCTACGTGTCAGAGTGGATGGGTTTGATCTGGCACCACCCGTTGTTCACAAACTGTGATAGCCTGCAAACAACCGCGATTGGTGGAAAACTGGCTGACGTCGCACCAAATACAGTCCTTGACATGCCCCAGCATCCGCATCCAATAAGACGTTAGGTTGCGTTCATACGTTGCGGCGCATACGCCAGCGTTCCGCAGCGTCAGTGACCAGGAAAGGATAGATATCGATCTAGCGTTTGCCAGCATTACCAGCGCTTCGAGAGCATACGCTAGCGTTTCACCAGCGTTCACCGGAGTCGCGAGGACAACAAAGTATAGGTATCGATCTAGTATTCGCCAGCATTTTACCAGCGTTTGCCAGCGGCGGGGAGCAGATTAGGTTCGATAAGGCGTCAAGAAATTGCGGCGTGTGCAGCCGCACCGCACTAGACAATACCGTACACTAAATTGGTTGAATTGCATAATGCATAATTGTAAAGGATAAAAGCGTGGGATCATTTACGATCTTTCACAAGGATGAGCATGTATGTGTCGACGGTATATTCGTCCAGGAAACGTTCATACTAATTACTAAAAATTCCCAACTGGAAAGTATCCAACAGATCAGCCCTAAAAAAGATATGGTACCTACAAAAGACGAGCGTTTTCATAGTTCAGTTCAATTCCGGTGCGACAATGTAATAAACATTCCGTTCCAACAGCCAAACCACAGAATTATGCAATTTAATCAATTTAGTGTACGGTATTGTCTATCAGTGCGGTGCGGTTGCTCCGCGATTCCACGATGCCTAATCGAGCTGTTCCTTACTCCCTACTCTCCAATAATCCCTGCTCCCCGCCGCTGGAAAACGCTAGTGAATCGCTAGTTGAACGCTGGTAAACGCTTGTGAAACGCTAGATCGATGCCCATACTTTACTTG